CCCTTTTTTGTAGTTTGGTTGTCTTATAAAAGTTTTGGTTATTTTATTGTTGGAGGTGTTTTTAACACAGTCTACAGTCAGCATGACATTAAAATAATGAAAAAAAAATATTTAAGGACTAGGCCAATTGTGTCCAATGTCCCAGCTGGCCACTATCCTGCATGTTTTAGTAGATTTCCCCACTTCAACACACTTGATTCAATGGTTAAATAATCTAGATGCACCAGTCATATCAGCCAATTCTGATTTATCTCAAAGATTTAACAGAATACTTAAAAATATTATCAACTTAAAATATGGTTCTAAAAATAAAACTTTAATTTGCAAGGTTTGTTTTTTCTAACATAAATGGAAAAGGTCTGGGAAAAATGTCAGATTGCATCAGTGCCAAACAGTAAAGTATGTAGAGTTTGCAGTTTGTCCATCACTGGTTAGGCTGACTATGCTAAATACTGGCACATTTTGGTTACCAGCGGATTTAATTTCATTTTTGGAAAGTGGCGGGTGCATTTCCTAATGTTCAACATGTCAAGTTTTGCAGAAGCCTCACCCATCCATTAAAATCATATGAGTTAACATAGAGGCATGCCAAAAATGTGTAGGATGGGGCCTTCAAGAGCCCTTAAACTGGGAGCTCAGTCATGCAAAAATCTAAGAAAAAGATGTATTTATATATTAATGTTTAAACATCCATATAAAGGTATTATTCTATTAGGAATAATCTATGACGAATTTATCAAATGTGCCGTGAAAAATAATAGCTTCATTATAACTAATGAAGAAGGATGAAGAAGTTCTTTCATACTAGCCCGGCAAGCCAGACTAAATAAATATATTATAAATTATTATTATTATATTATAAACTTTGCAAAGCCAGAATTAGGTCTAGTTCTTCCATTCACGTCCAACAGATCTCAATTATTCCTCGTTAGCACCACGACTGGAGCGCCATCTGCTGGACAATAATGCAAGTAACAAAAACCTAATCATGACATTAAGGACTGTAGAGCCAAAACTCACCATGACCTTAGGACTTTAACAGAGGAAGCATTTATCAGCTGAAGAGTACATTCATAATGTTCTAAACTTCTAAACAAACTCATGGAGCAACCACAGACGTAGAAAAAAGTAGGCAGATCGGACACAAACACCGTCTTGTTCGAGCGAAAAAAATAAATACGTAGTCTAAAAATGACATGAATGAAAGTGCCTTCAAATAATAAAGTAGTAAAACACAAATTAAACCACTCACATTGCTGCGTGTGAACAGGAGGAACATTGAGTTTGTGGCTAGCAAGGTTTTTTCTGGTTGACTTTTCAAAAACGAAGAGAACTTCGCTCTAATGTTCGCCTTTCCCGCACACGGTCACTCTTTCCGTTGCAGCAGCTACGTCATAACTTACGTCACATTGCTTTTCCTTTTGGTCAAATTGACTGCACGTGAAGACTATAGCGACATCTAGTGGTCAGTTTTAAAACTAAGAACAACATTTTAGGGAAAGTTGTAAAAATGTTGTCACACGTAAACAAACGTCTTACGTTTTTTATTATTCAGTAAACTGTATTTAAACTTAACATAAAACAAGATATTCAAAGTTAATAAATTGAATCAACACTATTAGGTAAGAAATTAATTCTACTTTTGTCATTTTATAGGTTTACAGAAGCTTCTTTTTATTTACCTTGATCCTGACCTAACTATTCCATTTAAAACATTTTATCATATCTGCATTTGAAACTTTAATCGTTTTTCATTATCAGGCTTGATTTAGCTAATATGTGTGACTACATTAGTTTAAAGCTTTTTATTAGTTGATTTTCACACGTTAACTATATTTTGAAGTATTGCTTTTGCGTTGTATCAAATAAAACCTTTTAATATGATGATCACAAAAACACTTTCCCCAGCTGCTACTCAAGGCTCATAGTTCTAGTGTGTATCTTTTTAAATCATTGTGTTAATTTTCATGCAGCCTCTCTTGAATGTGACACATTTCACAGGGATTTAAATATCTTGTCCAAATGCCAAAAACTAGTAAAACCTTGATTCTTATTTTTGACAACAAGACAAAACCCAAAAAACAGGTTCATTTAAGGTCAGAATTAATTTAAATGCAGTTAAAGGTTGTAGGCCCATTGTCACTTAGGTCACATGACCACACTGTGTGAAAGAGAGAACTGTACCTGTACATATTTCACTTCTGTCTCTGTTTGCTTGCTGTGTTTTTTTTTTTTTTTTTTTTGTGTAACTGAAGACCATGACAGTATTAATTTTGTTATTGTGCATTTGTTTCCTGCTTCCTGTGCAACCTGGGGACACAAATTGCTGTAAGTAAATGAAACATTACAAACTATTTATCTTTAATAGATGCACAGTTTAACAGTAGGACAAGGTACTGACAAAACTGTAAAACTGGGAGGCTGGAGGGGCTGCAGACAAGGCCACACATGCAGAGCACAAGGAGACACATGAGGGAGGCGCAGACACAGACCATGACAAGCCTCCACGGTTTATTTTAATATTAAGATGTTTACACAAAACTTCCTCCTGTTTTGCCTTATTCAAAGAAATTCCAGAAAAAAATGTTTTGTTTTTCACAAACTTTTTTAATGTTACACAACTGTCAATACATTTAGAGAAATTAAAAATAAAAACCTGCAAGAAAAGAGGCCAAGAGAGCTGCAGTATTTTTGAGAGGATTACTTGATCAAGGGAGAAGAACAGAGTTGTCAACAGTGGTATGCTACAGATGTCATTGTTAAACTAATAAATGACATCAATAACACATTAGGCATAACAATCAGGGATATGTTTGTACTTTTTGCTTTATTATAAAAGTTCAAAAGCAGTGAGACTATCACATGGAAGTCTTTCACTGCTTTTGGAGTCGGCTTTTAAGAAAATTAGCAATATTATTTAAAAAATAATTTCCCCTATTTCTGAAATGAACTTTGTCAGACAAAGACATCCCTGGACTGCCATGTCTAATGTGAGGATGCTAGCCTAGTGAACTAGACCAAATTCTTGCTTTGCAAAGTTTGGTCTAGGCATGCTCCATTGGAACCACAGCAGCTCCTACCAGGACTCTGGCTATCCAATCACAGCTCTCTAGAGGGGTTTCAAACACATAAAGAGCTGTGATTGGTCCCTAATGGTGGGCCAATCATAGTGCTCTATCTGCTTAGTGAACAAATCACAGAGCTTTATCCGCTTTGTGGGCCAATCAGGGAACTCTATATGCCTGGTGGGTGGGATGATGCAGCAGAGTGAAACAAGAGTATGTCACATTCATTGTCCAGTGGAATGCGGAGATCATTTGAAAGACAACTGTAGAACCCGCCCCACAACCGAGAGCCGTCACTGGAGCGTGGCCAGACTAAATAAATGTATTATTTAGTCTGGCTTGCCAGGCTATGAGGATGCACCATTTAAGCTGAAAATAAATGCAGCTATAACACTTGTAACAAACCTCCTGGCCTTTTCAGTTCCTGCTGATTTTATAACAGCTCTCCATCTACACCTCTGGGTGATGGACAAGAAGATGATGAGCACATGAGGGTGTGGAAGGTGAGCCGTTAAAAGTTCTTTTCTGTTACTGTTTGGTATTTGCTATGGATTGCACATATGATGTCCATGAATGTTAAAGACACATTTTAATGTCAAGACAGTGCTTGTTTTCGACAGGCGGCAAAATAGTTTAGGTTTCGTGTGAAAAGACATAGCGGACTACAAATGCCCATCTCAACAAACTGATGTCACTGAATGAGAGGAGGAGAAGAAAAATGGCTGCGTTCAGCGAGCTACACATCCTTTTTCTTCTAGGACGAAAGGAGAATTAAACGTGGTGAGAACCACTGTAAATGTAGCTGCGCTGGGGGAGACGAGATTCTGTTACATGTGCAACTTGTGATTTTATTCACAAGCAGATAAATCTCAAATTACGAGACATATTTGAAAGAAACACACATAAATGTGACCTGCACTTGGATAGCGCCTTTATGTGTATGTATCTTAAACTGAAGGACAACATATGCATAGGCGGAGATCCCAGGGGGGACGGGGGGACGCGTCCCCCCCTCACACAAAGTTGTCCCCCCCACAAAAGTTATTGTAAATGTATAAATGCTATCAGTAAACCTGTATTGTCTTCTGAAACCACATTGTAAAAGTTAGTCTGCAAATACAAAACAATGTGTTTTTAATTGTTGAGAAATTATAGTCCCCCCCCCCCCCCCCCCCCCCAATTCCTCAAGCCGGTACGGTCGGTCCACACACGCCATTTCCTACGGGCGGGGCTTCCGGCTCTGCCCTGCTCACAGCTTCACAGCAGCCCGCAGGCTCACAGGAGGCGGGAATCAAAAAGCCAGCGGTTTCCAGCAGTAGGTCATTTATCACACGCTTGTTCTACAAACTTAAATATGTATGTCAAATGTGGTCATGAATGTCAAACATAGACACCGATTATCTTTACATTTTGATCACCGTCGGAGATCCCTTTCTGACAGACCACCACCACCACAGTAAAAAAAAAGTTGTCACTTCATGTTCTCTGGTCATTCCAGGATTATTCCGCTATTATTATTCCATTCACTAAGGAGACCAATTTTAATGCTCCAGAACGTCAAGTAAGTAGAAACTTGCATTTTGATAAAGACATCTATAAGAAAGAAATGAAATGCCTATGAAATTGTTTCTAAATGGTTTCATTAGGCAAAGTCCAGTCACTTGAGCACAGGCAGCCAGAGACCGTCAGACACAGGCACAGAGTCACAGGTCAGTCTCTTATAAGGACATACAGTGTTGTATGTAGAGAGCATTTTTTTCAGTCTCTCCCCCCCCAATTACTCTCAGAAGTCTCACTGTTTATTGTCCCCCCAAAGTTGAAATGGGATTTCCGCCCTTGAACATATGTGTGATTCAGAGCGTTACGAGCATGGACCAGAAAATAACTTATAGCCTCACTTCTATTCTTTTCTTCAGGGACCCAGGAGCCGACCGGAGGGGGAGGAGACTAGAAGGTCGCGTGCAGCATTATATTAATGTCGATGGCAGCGACTCGCCCGCGTGCTCTTGTTACTAGGAGGCGCTGTTAGATCCCGGAAGAGTTGGAAATGATCTGACGTGATGGTCAGACCGAGAATGAGAGCGGAGAAACGTGAGATCCGCTGATCAAGTCGCCACTCTGAGCAAATCGGTGACGTTAATCTGCGTCCAACGGGAGGACGGAAACACGATATCCCCCCACAATCTGCAGGTATGAAAACGCACGGATTACCCGCTGTGTTCAGACTGGAACATCTGGAATGAAAGGTCTTTTTCTGTGCAGGTGATGCTCATGCATTCCGCTGGAATGTGTACGGTTATCAGCCTGATCGAGCAGGTTTTGTATTAGAAAAGGATTCAAAGGGAATGCATCCACACCCATACTGGTCTCCTCACTGGGCGGTGGGGAGCAGGTCAGGCTGCAGCCAGTGGGGATTATTACTCACACCTAACCGGCGGCCTCTAATGGAATGACAGTGAAAATCTTTACACCATTTTTTGTTTTTGCCGCATTTAACATATTTAGGGCTACATTTAGCCAATTTAGCTTCTCATTTAAACACAATTATGTGAAAAATTTAGAATGCCATTTTAATCATATTTTAGGAAATTGCAATGTGATGTCTAAAAGGCAGATGTTGGCAAAGAATTACATTTACTGTAAAATGGAAATGTATTGAATCTGAATATCTAGAATCCAATTTAATGTTGAAAAGGCTAGGATCAAATCAAATTAAAAAGCATAGTCAAATCTAAAAATGCCAAGTCAAAAATAGATTAAACTCTAATAAAAAATATATAAAATGAAAATGGTCAAAATTAAAATATTTATAGATATATTCAGAATCTAATTCAAATGTAGATTTTAGTGCTTTATCAGAGAGAACAAAAGGGATTTCGTTTACTCTGTTCCTTCTGCAACAGGAAAACTGGAAATTAACCGAGTTTATCTCCTTGAATACATTTAAAACCAGACTGAGAGCCCTTGAGACAGATTCCCTGTGTTGTAACTGCCTTCTGTCATTTTGTACATAACATGTCTGAGCGGAAAAATGTTGTCACTGTAACTTTAGCTGCCTCTTGGCCAGGACTCCATTGAAAATTAGGTTTTTAATCTCAATGGGACCATCCTGGTTAAATCAGAATCAGAAAAGGTTTATTGCCATTGTCAGTGAACAAACAATTCACAAACTAGGAACTTGCTTCGGTACTAACGTGCTACATGTAACATGAATAATATAATTAAAAAATAGAATAAAGTAGAATAAAGTAGAATAAAATATAATAAACTAGCATAAAACTTTGCTATAAAAAATGGCAGGTAAAGGTAATATGGCCGATAACGTGACGTTATGTCAAGTACCAAAGACGAGCATGGTTGTGTGTTTATAAGCTGTTCACAAGTCTAACGGCAGGGACTGAGTTATATATCGGATCTCTTCATTCTACATCTATTGTGCATCAGTCTGAACATATTTAATGTAAAACAACCACATATTTTAATTTGATGCTATACGTTGTTTTTAAATAAAACATTAAAAGTTTATTATAAATGTTTGATTAAATTAGGGAACTAAAACATTTGAATGCATTACTGTACCATTTGTGTCGCACTGATTTGCGTATATTGCACTTCCTGTCTAAAGGTCTATCAGTTGCTGGCAGGCATTTCCGAAATAGAAACTATTATTGATTGGACACACGATCTATTCTGCATTTTCATGAGGTATAGGAAAACAGAGGAGTCACCGGCCAAGTTTAACAGAAAGGTATGGCAGGAATGCGAGTGTGATAAAACACAAGAGCAAACAGACCCTCTTTTGTTGTAAGTGATTCGTCCTGTTTTTCCACTTACTGTATCCTCAATCCCCAGTGCAGACTAACCTCACGCCGTCTCACAGTTGTGATCTAACACATTGTCTGTTCGGTTTGAACAGCCGGGTAACGGCAAGGCTACATGGTGTGTGTTTCCGGAGTTTGGGTGTTCACGGATGGAGAGCTACGAGGCGTTCTGTCTGCGGAGTTTGCTCGTGCTGCAGGAGGAGAAGAAACCCAAGAGGAAGACATGTGAGCCACTGTGTTTCCTGAAAGATGCCTCTGTTATCCACTTCTGTGGGAGAGCTGTGCTTTCACCTCTGGTAAGGAAGCAATGAACAAGCATGAGCGCTAACACAAAGAGGAGCTCGACCAGATTCCTCTTTAGACCAAAGTGATATCCAGACTAATCATTTCTGCTACAGTTCCGGGTCTTTCTCTCTTGCTTTGGCTGCTGTACGTCTCAGGTACAGTACCGTGAAACATTCACGTTCACAATAAAAACAGGATTCCACACCTTTTGGGTCCTCTCCTCACTAACCTGGCATTTTCTTGCTTAAACAAGTCAAAATGTCTTTTCTGAGAAAAATCTAATTACATCAGCAGTTGGCACAAAAAGGAGACAAACAGTAATTGATGACGCCCTGATTCAGGACTCTTTAAGAAAACTCCTTCCTTCCTCTGTGCTGACAGGGTGGTTCATTGATTTGAAACAATCACATGAGGGAGAGGCCAGTGTCAGGATCTGGTCCACTTCCATCTGTTTAACTTTATTTATTACATCAAATCTTATTTTCAACGTATTTTTTTTCTATCTGAGTAGCTCTTATTCCAAAATATGTTCAAATTAGGGCTGCACAATAGATCGCAGATCTATCGTTATCGCGACATCAGCATGAGCAATATGCATATTGCAAAGAACAGCTAAATATCGCAATGAATCAAATGTTTGCTACACATAATGCTTTCTGTCAATCAAACAGAAGCATGATGTTTTTTTAACAAATCAAATAGAGCTCTTGACCCATTTGGCCAATTGGGTGGGTTCTCATAGGTTAAGTGCTCGCCCCCGAGGCGGACGGCACTTAATTTAATGGCTAGCAAACACCTGAGTTAGCTTAGTTCTGCTTTTCCCGGGATCCACTGATTGCCTTTTCTTGTTCGTTTTCTTTTTCCCTTTCCTCACATCTTTTGCTTCTCTCGTTTTTATGATTTTTTTTTTGGTCTTTTTTTTTAAAATTTCTTTGTTTTTGATTATTTTTGTTCCTGAAGTTTTTATTTATCGCAAGTAATATCGTCATTGCAATATAAATCACTGCTATCGCATATCGCAGGTTTTCCTAATATCCTGCAGGCCTAGTTGAAACTGCAGCTGCTACTTTAACCCGGACTGCCTGGATCCACCGATGTAGAAAGATAAAGCTCACATTCTTCCACTATATTTCTGAGAGCATCACGATAAAGACTTGCTAACTGACTAAATAACATTGTTTTCCAGTTGAGTGCAGAGCAGCGCGTTGAGATGTGTGGCCACAGACAGAGGGCGATCCAGCTGGAGCTGCAACTGCAGAAGCAGCAGAGAAACAAGCTTTTGGCCCGAGTTCAAACTATTCTGGATCAAGCTCAGGTGAGTCGTGTATGTGGTGCTGGACACAGGCCCGGTGGGTGGGGTGTGTTTGGGCTTTTGAGAGCAAACAAAACGCCAGAGAAAGTTAGAAAGCATTAGAGGTGAGTGATTTAGACTCCAAATTTCTCACAATACTGTTTGTGATGATAAAACAGTAGTGATTAAAACTGAAGTCGTGCAAAGTCGACTTCACTTAATTTATAGTGGAAAAATGTAGCAGTTATCCATTTTCTTAGTCTCGTTCATGCACTGGACCTGTGAGTGAGTCAGACATTGTCCGAAGCCTGGGCCATAGTCTCTGGTGACATCTGGAGAGTTACTTTCATTCTGACTTCCTGCAGACAGAGATCATTTTACCCAAATGCAGCGACACTCTAAAGCAACGGTGCTCATTTACAAATCTGCTCTTCTTGGCCAATCAGTTGTGTGAATTTTGAAGTCTGATAATTACAATAACATAAACATGACAAGCATGCATTTCTGTGTGCAGGCATGTGAAGCACCAAGTAAAGAAGATCTCAACTCTGCCACCGTCAGTGGCTACACGCTGGTCACTGACTCACCTGGACTTCCCCAAGACCCTGGATTCAGGCCACAAGGGGACAAGCAGCCTGTCATTCCCAATGCTGAGACTCTCGTCTTTGATGGCTACAAGGAAGACTTAAAGACAGAGAAGCAGGAGAGGAGTGAGGAAGAGGAGGAAGATGAAGACATAAGCTTGGACAGCCTTCTTAAAAGATCAAGGGAATATGTGAAGCGAGAGCAGAGTCAACAGGGATTGAAAGCCAGCCAGACTCCCCCTCCACAGCAGCAGAGTTGTAGCTCCATCAGGGACACGAGTATTGAGTTTGGGTTCAGTCTGCACCACAGTCCAGTCAGACCACCTCTGATCCAGCACCAACCTCTGTTTGACCACAGTCCTCAGAAACCTGGGGACTTGCTGCCTAGTAAAACGGAGCGATATGCTCGTCTCCCAAGTCCAGAGTCCTGCATCAGTTCTGGTCCTCGTAGACACAAACCACGCCCAGTTTCTACAGGAAACATCCACATTTCATTCCCCGTGGACCCAGCAGATTTTATCCCTCGAAGTCCAGGAAGGCCAGGGGAGGGTGCTGGTGTGGCAGATTGTGGGGGAGCGGTCTTAATGTCCAGCACTCAGTGGAGCTCAGACAGTGGGGACAGCAGTTGTGGGACTGGAAACTGTCGATCCAGTCACTGCAGCATCAGCCCAGTCCAGGAAACTAAAAGCCCAGTTAGCGCCCCTGTGCCCAGCTCCATGACACACCTGGCTTTGGGATTTCGCAGGCGGTGCCACACACTTGACAGCCAGCTGAGTGCCTACCAGTCTGGAGCGGATTACGTTGACCGCAGCCAGGAAAGGGTTCCTCGCTTCATGGCAGGAGTTACATGGCTGGGCCCAGGCAGGCGCGCTGCTGCAGCTCCTTTAAACCAGTCCTATGAGGTAGAAAACCCTTCTCCTTCTCTGCTGAGGCCCCACATAGCTCCGGATGATCCTCATCGGCTAAACAGTGGTGTGAAAACACCAACTGTTCAGAGAAAAACAGATGAAACACAATGCAGCAAGACAGGCGAGTTTCTTACTGTTTGTCTACCTGACATTAAGTTGTTCCTACCCAGGCGGCTGTCTGATGTTATTTTTTGAATAACATCTTAAAAACGTACTTCTGTGCAGAAACAGAGGAGGTTCAATGGTTGCCACAAGTTCTGGAAGACATGCAAAGGCGTCTAGAAGAAGAACATGCCTTGCAAATGTCGCTGCTTCTGGCTGAGCAGGAGATGGAACAACAGCGCCTTCGTCTGGTCAGCTCATACTTTCACAGTTTGTATTTTAAAACAGGAGAAAGTAGCTCAAATGATTTTTGTTTAATCAATTTTTGACAACTTTTTGTATAAAAAAGAAGAAAAACAGTACCAAACACATATAATACCAAATTAACTGACTTTGTTTTATTATTAAAAGTAAAATGCAGTGGATTTATTATTGATGTGCTCATGTTTAGGAGCTTGAGGAGACAGAGAGGAGGCTGAAGGAGCCTGTCGGTGGGGACTCTCGTGGTCGGGGCTGCAGGTCGGGGAGCTGTCCTGTTATGAGCCCCTCCTGTCCAGGACTGAGTCCCATCCACACGCCGGCCGACCGATCAGCTGGACACGTGTTAGGTAATGGGTCACTCACTGCTCACTTTATATGTCAGTAATACATAAAAAAACAACATTTAATATGACACTAGTTGTGTGTATTTATTTCCTTTCAGTTTTTCCCAGTCCTGCTCCGTCCAGTGTGACATCTCCCTCAGTTCAGCCTGCTGTTTTTCTGTGGAGCTCCTCTCGAGCAGCTAACAAACAACAAGCCAGGCTAAGTCTGGTTGGTGAATGAGTTGGCGTGAATCCAAAATGTCAAGTGTGAAAAACATAGATATATGTTACATATAACAAAACCAAAAACTCTGTGTTATTGAAAGTTAGGTCACATGAGGTCAGTGACTAAAGAATATTTTAAATAGAAACTCCAGACATCTGAAAAGTGTTTGTTTCTATACGTCAGTACTTATTTGGACCTTTTGCATGAATTACTGCAACATTGCAGCATGGAGGCCATCAGCTTGGGTTAAGGTCAGCAAACCTCAGCACTTATCCTGCTTGATCAGTCGGCTGCATTTGACACCGTCAACCATGGCTTCCTTTTGTCCATACTCTCCAGCATGGACATCACAGGGAAAGCACACTCCTGGTTTGAATCGTACCTGACCGGACAATTATTCAGTGTGTCTTGACTTGGACAATCTTCTGCTGTTCACCATCTTGCCACAGGAGTCCCCCAGGGCTCTTTACTAGGACCTTTTCTCTTTGCCAAATACACCACCTCACCAGGTGAGATCATTCAATCACATGGCTTCTCCTTCCACTGCTATGCTGATGACACCCAGCTCGATCGGTCATTCCCGCCGGATGACTCAGACTGTCTTTCTGACATATCAAGATGGATGAAATTAGCCTAGTGAACTAGACCAAATTCTTGCTTTGCAAAGAATGGTCTAGGCATGCTCCATTGGAACCTCAGCAGCTCCTACCAGGACTCTGGCTAGCCAATCACAGCTCTCTAGAGGGGTTTCAAACACATTAAGAGCTGTGATTGGTCCCTAATGGTGGGCCAATCATAGTGCTCTATCTGTTTAGTGAACAAATCACAGAGCTTTATCCGCTTTGTGGGCCAATCAGGGCACTCTATATGCCTGGTGGGTGGGATGATGCAACAGAGTGAAACAAGAGTATGTCACATTCATTGTCCAGTGGAATGCGGAGATCATTTGAAAGACAACGGTAGAACCCGCCCCACAACCGAGAGCCGTCAATGGAGCGTGGCCAGACTAATAATACATTTATTTAGTCTGGCTTGCCAGGCTAGGATGAAATCCCACCATCCCAACTCAATCTCTCAAACTGAATTACTTATCCCAGTGAAATCGTCCATGCGGCACAATATCTCAATCCAAAATGATTCTCCATCTCTGGCTCCTTCAAAAGCAGTTCAAAACTTGGGTGTTGTGATTGATGACCAGCTGACCTGTAAAGATCATGTTGCCTCTGTCGCTTGTTCATGCCGCTTGGCGCTGTATAACACATGAAAGGTCAGACTGTACCTGCCACCCAGCTCCTGGTGAAATCTATGGTCATCTCCCGCCTCGATTACTGCAATGCACTTCCAGCCTGTACTAGGGGGCCCTCTTCAAATGGTCCAGAGTGCAGCGGCATGTCTGGTCTTTAATCAGACTAAAAGAGCACATGTCACCCCTCTTTTCATTGAGCTCCATTGGCTACCACTAGCTGTATGCATCAAATTCAAATCGCTAGCACTAGCATACAAAGTTCTGGATGGTACAGCTCCCATCTACCTGGATCCTCTTGCAAAGGCTTACGTCACGGCCTGGCTGCTTCAGTCTAACCCCGGCTTTCCACGGGAGCCGTCAGCAGCACGTTACTGCAGCAGCACGTCATAGCTGCTGATAGGAACGGCTGTGGTCAACAGAACCTTTTCCACTGGAGCCGTCAGCAGCCGTCAGCAGCGCGAGTCGGTCGCGTCTCAGGAGCAGCATGTCGCGGCCTTTACGCGCCGGTTCTATTTCCTACGCGCGACGCCTCTGAAACGGGTCAAGTTCGACATTTTTGGGGAAGGAAAGACAGGAAATCCGACGCGGAAATGGAGAGAAGCTACCGAGATTTTCAGAATAAAGAACGTACTGCCTTCCGGTTGCTTTACTTTTAAAAAAGGTTACTAACTGTGCGTCCCCGTGAGAAGTTATCACCTAGCTAGCGGTCTCCTTTGTTTTTCAGGTCCATATTGGCGATTATAAAACGGACAGAACATAAAACACAAACCATGTTGCAATTTTCTCCTGCTTGTTGTTGTGTTTACTGACAAAGTCACTCGTGTGACTTCGTGCTCGGTCGGTGACAGCTGCTCCCCTGCTGCTTCGCGTCGTGTGGGAAGGGCCAAGCAGCAGCTTACGCGAGCAAGACGTGCTGCTGCAGTAACGTGCTGCTGACGGCTCCCGTGGAAACCCGGGGTAAGGATTGTCGGCTAACAGTGCCTACACCACGCTCAGGACAATCCAGACTCTTTTCATGTGTCGTTCCACAGATGTGGAATGACCAACAAAGGACTACTAGAACAGGGGCTTCCTTGTCGATTTTTAAGAAACTCCTCCTCACTACAAAAAGTAAAATTGTTTAATTAGAAGCAATGGTATGGAGCAGGAGCAGGCAGACAAAAACTTGAGGAGCAAAACACAGGGATGCAAACAAACACAAGGAACCAACAAGGGGCTATGCATATGACTGGGGTTAAATACTGCTGAGGAGGTGAGTGAAGTCAAAGGGAGCAGGTGCACTGATTACTGATGAGAATGACCAACAGGTGTGACTGGTAAGCAGAGGATGGGAGGCAATGCAAAAACACATGAGGACTGAACCAGATTAAACTATAAGATACAGAAACATAAGACACTAGAACTAAATGCTGAAAGAAGACACTAATGGATGACAACTAAACAGAACTCAAAAAGTAGAAAACACAGGTACAACTACTAGATTGATGGGAGAATAACCTAAACCATGAACAGGGAATGACTGAAGAAAATACACAACCAAATAAGAAATCTAACAGGGCTGGGCCAGATAAGTGGCTGAAGGTGACTGAGGCTGGGGATGAATGAATGGGACAAGAAACAAGGAAACCTGGAGGAGGGTTAGGGAACGGACACGGGGTGACATGGACAAGAGACGGGACATGACAATTATCGCCTGTAAGTCGTTATGGACAGAAGCGTCTGCAAAATACTTAAACATAACCCATCAGCTCAGCTGAGGTGTGATGAAAGGGTTAGGGTTCCTTCAGGGTTCAGGTCATCTGTAGGGTCTGGTGTCTCCTATCCTCTTAACAGAAACCCATGTATTCTCTATGGGTGTTCAGCTCTGACCAGTTAGCTGCCAATCAAACCCAGTATCACCAGGGTCATGGAACCAGCCTTTGGTACCTCTGGCAGGTTGAGCAGGTACCAAGTCTGGCTGGAAAATGAAATCAGCATCTCCATAAAGTCTGTGTGTGGAGGCTCTTGATGTTCCGACTCCAGCATCCATCCACTCCTGCCGAAGCTTCACCAAATTCTTACGTGGATGTATCTTGATAATCCTCTCAAGACTGCAGTTCTCCCTGCTGCTGGTGCAACATATATGGCTGCAGCACTCTGAGGACAAACGGCTTCTTTAGGTCGTGGCTTCCTCTCCTGGTGGACAGTGACTTCTGGACATGTGTCCAGTCCACAGTCTTTTCCATGATTGTGTGTGTGCTACTGACCCAGACTGACACCATATACAGGCTCATAAAACCTTAGCAGATGAAGTTAGCTAATTAGAGCGCAACATCAGGAGTTTCCAATGTCTAACTTTTTAACTCTAGTCTACTTTTCAGACACTGAATGTTGAGTTTTTATTTTCTGTAAATCATTATCAAAAAATGAAAGAAACAAACAAATATTTCATATTTTAGAATAATTGTCTTCCTTTGTCTGTGATTTTTCAGGTGTTGACCGCGGCGCATCAGAAAGCCTTTAGTCGCATCTGTGCCATCGTTCGAGGTTTCCTCGTACGCCGACTGCTCAAAACAGAGAAGGTCAAACATTTGTGCCAAACCATCCTGGTGAGATCCATGATTATGTCGATGTTGGTAACTGGAAAAATGGTACTGTAGTATATTATAAATGGTTTAAATTTGTCTTTAGGATACGCAAGAATTAATCCACGTATTTGAGACTGAAGCTGCACAAAAGAGAGGAACATACTCGGCACAAGATCTGTCTCTGCAGGAGAGAGTCAGAGCTCAGGTGTGACGTCATCACTGTCTTTATACAGCAGAACCCTCCTTTTTTAGTATTTACACGTGTTTCCTTCTTGTGCCCACAGTTACGTGCAGCTCTCTACGACGTGCACGACATCTTCTTTGAAATGACTTCAACAGATCGATTAGCAGTTCTGCAGCAGGACAGAGAGCTGCGTGTACAGAGGAAGCTCCGAGACCTGGTACACGAAACACACCCAGGGAGGAAACATTTATGGCTTTTTAATTTAAAATAGAGACAGAGGGGTTACACTGCACACACATCACAAAGATAATAAAAAAAATAAACACAGAACTAATGAAAAACATCATTTAGAAAAAAAGTTGTTCAAAAACACATTGGAAGCCATATGCTCCTAAACCAGGGGTGTCAAACTCAAACTCACAAGGGGCCGAAGTGAAACTCTGGGACGGAGTCGAGGGCCAAACTTAATATTTTTTGAAAAAGTGACAGCAAATTTGCACGTTTTCTTTATCAACATGTATGCAATTTTGAACCTTTAAATTTGGAAACAAACATATTTCTGCATTAACACTGAATGTGGAATAACCAAATTACACACGAGCAAGTCAGTTACAAATAAAACACATCAGTGGTATTCATTACTTGTGGTATATTCAGCATTTTATAAATCTATTCAGGATTTATGTTTTCTTGTTTATTCATTTTTCTTATTTTTATTCTCCTTTTTTCTCCTGTAATACGCGTCATTGCTGCTGTGACGTCTAGCTTTCCCCACTGAGGAACAATAAAGGGATTTTCTATTCTATTCATCTATCTGCAGCCTTTCCACTTCCTGTTTACTGTAGGTTAAATCTTTTCTCACGGGCCAACAACAAAATAAAAATATCATTTTATCTTAAATGAAAATGCAACATCCCACCTGTTAACTTTCATGTTTTGGAGCAGAAAAAGAGCATAAAACCAACATATTTAAAGCTCAGTTTCCTCTACTGGTTTACTGTGATGCTCACCTGTTCCAGCCAGATACCTGCATCATGGGGTTGATCTGAACTGAGGAGGAGACTCCTGTTGTTTTATTCATCTTCATCATAATAATGACAACATTAGATGACAACAGGTGCTCACATAGGTTTGTGCTGATGAACATGTCTGAGCAGCTTGACCACGTTGTTGTGTGTCGGGGAGGAAACACAACCACAGAGTCGTGCTGGTTTTAGCGTGTCGCTGCTCGCTGGAGTTATATCAGCTCTGTCTGGAAGTTAGTTTGAAAACTTTCTCTTTCAGTCGTGAACACATTACTGAGCGGCTAGAATCTCCGTTTCTGGGCTTCAACGTCAGAAAACAGCTGAGTGAACTCGGCGCTGAGTGAGAGGAGTGTAGTTTGTCCGAGACAGCGGAGCTGCAGACACCCAACTACCTCTGACTGCCTCGGCGCTGAAAAAACACAAAGGAGGGGGCACGTCTGCTCCGCGCTGGCGCCGCAAAGCGGTAAAATCGGCCAGCGGGCCAGTTTTAATATAGTTTTGATATTTATCTCGCGGGCCACATAAAAATGCTCCGCGGGCCACATCTGGCCCGCAGGCCTTGACTCTAACATATGTGTCCTAAACCGAGGAATTAGGCAGCTTTTCAATTTTCCAGATATGTTCAGCTCATTGTCTGTGTGCACTAGCCTTTTAACTGATGCAGGAACAGCTAAGTGCATGCATGTACCAGTTGTGCTCACAGAGACAAACTCTGCTGTGTTCGCCTGTGTTTGCAAGCTAAGGTCTAAATGAACGTGAACTCCCATCTTATGAAGGGTTCCATGTGCTGAATGCTGTGCCCATGCACGGCCACCGGGAGGTGGTCTCCAGCTGATCTGTGATCCATGGGCATTTCCACTGTCTCGTCTGTGTTAATGTAGAGTTGGTGAGCATCACTCCAGCTCACACACTCATCCTCTGCACAGCTGTGGCCCTTTCAGGTGGAATCTGTAGTTAGCAGACTGAGTGTAGCAGAGAAATCAGAAGATATAACAACAAGTTGATTAAGCAGGAAGCTATCAATTAGTGTAAACTGTTGGTGAATAGTTGCGGCCCTGTGGGTGCCCCATGCTGCTACAGTAACAGAAAATACTGAGCTCATTTTCACCTGCTGTGGCTAAAAGATGGGAAAGGACCAAAAATGGGTTCACGTTCAGCTGTGTCAACTTTTTCAGAAGGATGTGTTGATGAATAGAATTAAAAGCTGAAGTCTCGTAAATGCAGATCAATTCCAGGTGTTTTTAAACCTGGTGGCACCGCTGTTGCTTTTTGAATGCAAACTGATGTAGATCCTGGTGCTGCTCCACTTCCACCTGCAGCTCCACGCATGCTGGGTGTGAGAGCCACTGGTTTAACGTCAGTGTTTACTGGGGCATATTTTCTTGGTAACTGGAGAAATAACAGATTTTTGTGTTAAATTATTTAAAAATATCTCACCAACATAAATGAATTCTCCTCTTCAGGAGAAAACCAAGTGTCCCAAGGAGAGAGTCTCTCTCTCTGCTGCCACTCAGCGGTCTCTGGACAGGAAGAAGAGGTGAGGGAGGAGCTAAAATCACAGCTTGTGTGTCGTGTTGTGTTGGATATGATGCTGATTTGTGTTTGTTAATCCTGTAGAGCTGGTGAGTCCCCCGGTCAGGTCAGGAAGGTGCAGCAGAAGCCAAAAAGCCCCACAACCACCAGGTTCTATTACATTAATATCTATATTTGATGTTTTATTTTTTATAGTTCCAATTTTCTCTGAAATAATTTTGTTTGTTTTTCTCCAGAGTTTTGAAGCCTAGTCAAAACCAGAACTCCTCTACTCCAGGCCAGTTGCACCGCCAGGGGTGAGTTTGTTTTTTAGTTTCACCATTTTCAAACAGCAAAAGTCTCACTTCCTCTTGGAAAACAAGCCTTAAAACGTTCTCTTCTCCATCTCTTTATGCATGTTCCTATCCATAATTGATCTTACTGGAATTATGAGTAACTTTCTCCTTTATAAGTGACTCTGTGAGAGATCTGGTGTGTTTAAACTCCTCCCAGTGACCGTGGCTAACCCTAACCCTGTTTTCAGGAGCTGGTACAGAAAGACTCCTGAAGAGAGAGTGAGGCGCTCGGACAGCCTGAAGAAGCAGCACTCTCTGGGTTAACACACCACACAGCACCGCTCGACCTCTTAACTTGAATTTACATTCTTTTATTCTGAATGTTGCACCACTGGACCTGTTTTACAGCGCTGCTAACACCATTACTTAAAGTCTTATCTCTGATGATATTAATCGCCTCCATGTTTTCATTAACACCAGTGTAGTTGTGTTTACTGCTGCCTCCTGCTGAAACGTTGGTGTGTGTGTGTTGAGTATCCAGTAACGAGGCCGTAGAAACAGCTGGACTACACCTTAGCATGCTTGTATTGTTTATCTGATGTTATCAGACATATGAAATGCTCATCGTTGTAACTGAATTTTAAGACTGAATGTCAAACTGCAGGTTTTGAAATAGTATTTAGTCGTGTATAATTTATGACGATTTTGTTAAAGGGCTTTGACTCGTTTTCTGTGCTTTGGGGAGCTAATGGTGCTGAGTACTTTATCACCATTTTAGCCAGTTTGATATATTTCTGCAGTTAAATTAGTGTAGTTTGTCATCAGTTGCATTTATTGTGTGACTTTTTTATGTCATTTCTGTTTTTCTTGTTCTGATTTTATTTCCTGAATAAATCAGAATCTGCTCATTTTATTTGTATTTTCGCAACCTTCCACAATGATTTGTGTTAAACTTCCAAGTTTATTGAAATAATATCAAATACATACATGCAGTTATCTTTTCTCACAAAATATATTAAATATATATATATATATATATATATATATATATATATATATATATATATATATATATATATATATATATATTTAATATAATCAATCAATCAATACTTTATTAATCCCAGAGGGAAATTAGAGTTTCAGTACACACAATTCAGAGATCAGACATACATGGGCAAGACACTTGACAAGAACTGGTGACTGTGGTCATTCACAACCTGAGTCGCGCTACCTTAATAGAGATAAGAGGGTTACATGAGGATTGGTTCAGGTGGAGGGAAAAAAAGGCATTTCAGAGTTACCCTCCAGCAGCTTTGCTCTGCAAAAAAAAAAACACCTCAGCAGATATGCAACAGACTTCAGACGACACAACATAACATGAGACTCCAACAGGAAGGCGGGGGTGGGGGGGTGGGATCCTGTTTCCCCCAGCGAGAGCAGCCATCTACGGCGCTCACTTACTGTACAGTCACAGGTGGGACGGAAGTTGTACAGTTTGAGCCGGACTGTACGACTTCCTCACAGAGCAGATCTCACGAGTCATGTGCTCACACTGCACGACCCAGTTCTCAGATGCGACCTGACTGCTCACACTGTACGTCTGGTAGCAACACGTCGGACCTAAAAATATGCTAAAAATAGCAGTTTTTACACAACACGTCAGAATTTTTGTCTTGTCTGTTGACCTTCAGGAGTGCTGCAGGAGGACACACAGGGATTTATGAGGGTTGGATGAGGAAAACGAAATAAAGAAAGTGAATCTGTGTTTTGTAATCAGTTTAATTTGACGTGAATACGACAAACACGCTTTCTTGACAATCTTTGTGAGTAAAAAAAGCGTGTAGAAATAAAAACGAACAATGTGTGTTATTAGGGAAATAGTGGGCGAGCGGTGTTGATTCATGGATGCACATGCGCCGTGAGCGGTTCTGATACTTTTTGGGTCGCAGCGCTGCTTCAACAGTGCGATACCCTCACGAGGAACGAGCAAAATATCAAACACGCCAGAAGTCCGTGCGAGCTCACGATTGCTGATCGGTAGCTGGTCACGTGGTGTTAATCGCCTCTCGTAACCCCCTGTATACTACACGACGCTCAGCGCAAAACTCGCCCCGATCTTGTGGATTCTCGCACGAGTGGAAAATCGGCTCAAAAAAATGAAAAGGTCGCACAGTGTACGCCCGGCTTTAGGGAGGTTTTGCTTCAGATGGCCGGTCTGAAGCTTTCTCAAGAACTGCTGATTCACCAGAGTGATCCGGTTTTAAAGTTCTCATGTTATGATTTGTGTAGCCAACCAGAGGTTAACAAGTTGAGGAATATTACCAAGACAACTCAGAAACACGCCTTCTTTGATCCAGATGCTCTGATCTGGGCTAAAGGACTATCCATGTGTCACGCGTTTGACTTAAATTTACTTTGTCCTCATGTGAGTGCAAATGGTGATGACCTTGCCATATCAACATGCTGAAACATATATCAATCCATGTAATCATGACATAACATTCATTTCAAACTTCAATCACCTAAGCACAGATTAATGAAAGCATTTCATTATATTATCATTATTATAAGTAGCAATAAACAAATGTTTATTTAATGGTTATTTAAGTTATAAGTTTAAAAGTTCATCTATAACAAATCATTCTTTGATTTAGCAACTAATCCGAGCTGCGAATGTTCCTTATTCAGAGGCATGAAGAATCCTGTAGGACAGTGGTTCCCAAACTTATTTAGCCGCGCACCCCCTTCTATGTCCCGACCATGTCGACGCACCCCCTAGCCCCACATCACGGCATGGCTATATATATACCAATATATGTGTGTGTGTGTAGATAGATAGATAGATAGATAGATAGATAGATAGATAGATAGATGTTTCTGTTGTTAGATCTGACGGCAGCCTTTGACAGTCGACCACGCGATTCTACTCGATCGCTTGGAACGATGGGTTGGGATCAAAGGGTCTGCTCTGGATTGGTTTAGATCATATCTCTGATGAGATCCGAGCCACAGGTCAACAGGGTGCAATTTGAAGGAAACTCAGAAAGAGTCAAAGAATTGCGATATAACTATATGCAAGTGAGTCCCGCAATTGATGCATACACTCAACACTGTGTACAGTAAATTATACATATTTCAATGTTGTAATCATAATGACTGTGCTTCACACTAGTGACCACTCTACATTTATTTTTGATATTGTCATATGTGTTTCAGAGAGTCCTTGAGCTAGAGGCAGCTGCAGTGGAGCACCAGTTCATCTTCATTGATGAGGTTGGATTCAACCTCACAAAAAGACGAAAGAGGGGAAGGAATATCATTGGCCAGCGTGCCATTGTTGAAGTCCCTGGCCAGCGCGGAGGGAACATCACAATGTGTGCAGCGCTTGGCTACCATGGCATCATCCATCACCATGCTACCCTTGGCCCCTACAACTCCGCCCATCTGATCCCATTCCTGGACACCCTACATAACACACTCATTCCACCAGACCAGGTAGATGGTCCAGAACAGCCCAGGTACGTTGTCATTTGGAACAACGTAAGTTTCCACCGGGCTGCTGTGGTTCATAACTGGTTCACTGGCCACCCACACTTTTTAGTTGTTTATCTCCCTCCATATTCTCCATTCCTCAATCCCACTGAGGAATTGTTTTCTGCATGGAGATGGAAGGTGTATGACCGACAGCCACAAACCCGTATACCTCTTCTCCAAGCTATGGAGGACGCATGTGGAGATATAGCAGCTGATTCTTTTCATGGCTGGAATCGCCATGCTAGGAGATATTTCCCCCGCTGCTTGGCCAGGGACAACATTGCTTGTGATGTGGATGAGGCGCTGTGGCCAGACCGCAACAGGAGAGAGGATGCAGCATAGTTTTATTGTTTTACTGTAACTGTATACAGTAAATTTCTGTTGGATGTAGTTTATGTGTGCAACTTTGTGTTAGTTGGTAATGGGATGAACATTGTGTACAATGTTTTGTGGGAAAATAAAATAATTTCTACCATGGATTTGTGTGTTCAGAGTGTAAGAACAATATTCTGAAATAACAACACATGCATGTATTTACTGTCTGTAGTAGGTGTAACACTGAACCAAAAAGGCTTTAGTATTATGATGAATGGAGAGGACGTGTTTTCCATTCATCATAGTGTTTAACATTGAGCACATGAGTGTTCTGCTGGTTCTTATAAATGTCTATTCATATGATGGTTTTTGTGTCATTTGACAACAAAATCACATTTTGAGGAGAAATAACATTGTTTTGAATGTGAAGTTTAATTTTGCAGGTTAAGTGAGGGGTTTTGCCCATTATGTGTGTATTTTCTGGATTTGTGTGTAGAGTTCTGAAAATATGGGGCATGCTTTCAGAAAATGTGTGTAAACAATTGAGAAAAGCTGTAATCACTGACAAGCCAAACTAAAATAGTAATAATGTAAGGTGTGGGCGTAACATATCACCGCTTCACTGTCTTTGAACTTTTTAACCTTGTAGAGCTTTCTCTCAAAACATTTAGAGCAGTTTTCTTTTATTCTGCCGCTAATGTAGACTTGGTGCAGTAGAGCAAAGTTATTTCAGACACATGGATGTGTTTTATTTTCCCTCCACTGCCTTTTACAAAACACCAGGGGGCGATAGAACTCTGTGTAGCATTCAAACAGAAGATTCAAAGGCAGAAGCATTCACTTACAAAGTTGAAAAAAGATGACCAAGTTTTTAAATTCATTTAATGCATTAGTCAGCATGCCCTTTTCTGATTTATCAATAAAAATATATATATTCATTAATTAGATTTATAGAACACTTTTCTAGACACTCAAATCACTTTCCATTATTCACACTCTGCAGGTGATGGTAAGCTGCTACGTAGCCACAGCTGCCTAGGGGCAGTCTGACAGGGGTAAAGTGCCATCTGCACCATCGGCCCCTCTGACCACCACCAACACAGGCAACTTGGGTGAAGTGTATTGTCTAAGGACACAAGAGCAGAATGTTATCGTTGTCATTATTATTGTTATGATATTTATTATGACATCCTTTTGGGGGGAAAACCCACATCTCTTCATTTAGCTCTTTTAAACATTTCAGAATCTAAATGTTTTTGTCTTACACTTTCATATTTCCTATTTTGATTTGTTTACATAGCTCCTTTTTTATTTCAATTTTTTTTAGCAAAGAATATACGATAGCTGATTGAAGACTATATTTTCCCTATTGCATCCATACATATCATCCATCTGTGCTGACCTTGTTTCTCAGGGTGAGTTCACATACAAGCGCCTCTGTTCACCTGTCTTTAGTGCCAAGCCCAACTGACCAGACCTTTCCATGACCCTCCTTGGTGGTGACAGCTGTACACAATCTCTATGGAACATCTCACCACCCCAGAAGCTGCAAAACAATGGTTCCTTCAAGATCTGCTGCCTCAGGGCAAACGTGGAGCTAGACCAGATCTTGATGAGGACGTGACTCAGCCCAAGCCACCCAGGTGTGTTACTTTCCCCGTGACACAACAACTGTTTTATTTACCACCTGTTTACCTCATTTTACCTCATTTCCCTTCATTTCCCATGCTTACATTTGTAGCCTTGCTGGGCAGCAGGGGTATTTTCTCAAACACTGGTATATATAGAAGACATTAGCTCCATGTAAAAATAATACAAAACAAAAACTAAAAATGTCGATGGAGATCAGGAAAATACAGGAAAGCACACAACACACAAACAATTATTCTTAGTGTCCATCCATCCATCCATCCATCCATCATCAATTTTCAATTTTTTCTTATCCAGAGTCGGGTCGCCGGGGCAGCAGCCTAAGCTGAGATGCCCAGACTTCCCTCTCCCCAGCTACTTGGGCCAGCTCATCCAGGGGAATCCCAAAGCGTTCCCTGGCCAGCCGAGAGA